GTCACTATCTCAGTGACTCTGGCAAAAGTCACTCCGACCAAAGTGACTCCGGTCAAAGTGACTCCGGCCAAAGTGACTACCCGCCCAATTCCGTCCATCGCCACCACATTCCGGCCACCGCCATCTAGCCCACTTGGCTAGTCACTGCTGTCACCACCCCCTCCCCAGCCCCGAATCCTCCTCCCTGGGCCCCAGCCCCAGGCCATTTCCGGTGACTAGCCGCCCAGTCCCACTCCCTGCCCCGCCCCGCCCCTGTACTCCCCAGACCTCTCTCCTACCATTTCGCCCAAAAGCTTAGGCATATCACCACCTTCACCACCATGGAACCCTCGCCGCACTCCCATCAGAAGCGGAAGTCCCAATCCGAGTAGCCATTCGCTAAGATTGCAAATCGCACCCGTCATCCATCAAGGACGACAGATCCGACACCGACGGCCCTAAATCGCGGTTGTCGTCAGTCCAGGCGGCGTATCTAGCACCGGCGACCATATAGGATGAAGAAGAAGCGAGCAGAGGCGCGACCATTGACCATCGACTAACAGAGACGCGAACGTCGGCCATCAGCAGCAGAGGCGCGGCCATCAGGCAACGAGGACGAAGAGTGGCGGTTGCAAAAGAGAGAAGAAGAGAGCGGCTGTTGGAGAACGGCGGTGGCGGCTGGACTACTGAAGAGCGGCGACGGCTGGAAAGCTGCAGCGGCCGGATAGAATAGCCTCGGACGGGGGTATATATATAATCGCCTTGGAGATGGGGATGCGATGATCCGGAAGCAGAGACTGTCGTTGAGGATCGGAGGTGGCTTGGGGAGAGTATCGAGACCTTTGGGAGAGTTAGAGTATACAGCCTGTCATATTTTTGGGAAATTGGAATATGGTTATAATTTTGGAATTGAAGAGTCCGGGTGTCATATTCAGGCCATTTTTTTCATATATTATTGTACTATTTCTACATTTTTGTGTTCTACATGTAAACTTTTTTGCATATTCTGGTACACTTAACGTATAATATTTTTATTAAATGTTCTTTATAATTACCAATATGCCACCACGTTTTCACTTAAAATTTGATCTCTTCCATCTATTTTTTCATATCAATGGCCAAAGTTATGCTTATTTTTCAAATGGGAAGTACTTTTTATTTGAACCAATCTCTCTCTCTCTCTCTCTCTCTCTCTCTCTCTCTCTCTCTCTCTCTCTCTCTCTCTCTCTCTCTCTCTCTCTCTCTCTCTCTCTCTCTCTCTCCCCATATATACATATATATAGGGGATGGTTCTAGTCCGGGTGTCATTTTAAAATGAGAACTGCTAATCTCCATCATTAATTTTTATCATCAATGGTTAATAATGACAAGGTGGATTAATTGCTTAAGAGCCCCTTTTGAATTTGGGGTAATTATGAATATGACCCCATGTGAATCATAATCAATGATTACAATAAATGAAAGGTTGAGATTTAAAATTCTCATTATAAAGAGTTCTCATTTTAAGAGGGGTTCTCACTAGAACCCTCCCCCTATATATATATATATATATATATATATATATATATATATATATACATACATATATATATATATATATGTATGTATATATATATATATATATGTATGTATATATATATATATATATATATATATATATATATATATATATATATACATATATAGGGTGCGGTTCCGGTGAGAACACTTCTTAACGTGAGAAATGAGAACGCTCCAAAATGATGCACTTTATCATTCACGAAAATGCACATTTATAGTTAAAGTAATGCAAATTTCTAATGTGCACTTTTACGTGTAAACTTTTGCACGGTTGAAATGCACATTTTCCAATTTTTCATATGCACATTTCTGTTTTACATGATGCACAATGCTAAAATCCAACGCTCCAAAATCATTCTCATTTCTCTCCTAAGATGGTATTCTCATTTGATCCTTACCCTACATATATATATATATATACATATATATATATATATATATATATACATATATATATATATATATACATATATATACACACACACACACACACACACAATATATATATATATATATATATATATATATATATACATACATATATATATATATCAGGATTTCTGTCCGGAAATTCCGGACAGGAGCCCCGTCCGGCCTCCTCCATTTGGGGACCTTCCCGGTGCTATTTTTTGCTCAAATTTTTTGTGTATGTTCCTAATCAAGTCTAGTTCATCCATACCAAATTTCAGCAAAAACTTCAATCGAGAAGGTCGTCAAATGATTTTTTCAAGTTAACTGGTCCGGAATATGTATTTGAAGTTTTTTTATTTTATAATTTTTCATTTTTCGATTCTTTTTTTAATTTTCATTAATTTTATTTAATGTTTATTTCGTATTTCTTATTTTTTTTTACATTTTTATTATAAATAAAATTATGTTATTACTTTTATATTCTAATTATTAATGAAATATGAATTGTATTAAAAAAAAGAAAGGGTAGAATTGGAAAGTTAGTCCTATTTAGGGAATTAAAGTTCCATTTAGTCCCATTTGATGAATTATCCCTTTTTATTTTATTCTTACTTTATCAATTCAGTATCAATCACATATACTCATTTTTTTTTAATAATTGTGTCACCCCCTCATATCGATCCCAATATTAGTGGGACGAAGATAGTATATATTATATAGGGGTATATATTACTCCATAATTTTGAAAATTAAAAGTTATGGTTGGGGAGGGGGGCGAGCACACATACCTATTTAATTAAATTATGAACAATTTATGAAAATATTACATATACAATAGAAAATGTTGAAAATTTAAGGAGGCTCATCGTCCCCATAAATCCATACATGCCCTCATCTCTAGGACGGGACGGTCTGGAACGAGAATGAAACCGGGTCCAACCCGGTGGTATGTATGGTAGGGATATAATAATAATACGTAGTACTCCCTCCATCTCATAAAATTCTTCCAACTTTTCTTTTTGGGCCGTCCCAAAAAATCTTTTCTATTTATCATTTTTGGAAAATTTGTGTGATTCTCATTCATTTTACACTTTTCTTAGACAACTATATAAATTTCAACTTTATTCTTTAATACCTGTGTCAAGTCAATGTGATAACTTTTTTTGGGAGAGAGGTAGTAACAATTACGGAGTATACTATATCCTCAGCAAACTCAGCGGTCCTCCTGATATATATATATATATATATATATATATATATATATATATATATATATATATATATATAGAGGTCCACCTGATATACATACAAACTCATCCTAATTTACAAAGTGCAAACGAATCATGTCCATCCATTTGAATAAAATAACGGTGTAGATGATTTACTCCCCCACTAAAAAAACTCCACCTAATACGACTGATTAGTAGGAGCTAAAAAAACTCACACACCCATTAATACGGCTGATCATTAATGTTCAAAACAAATCCTACCATTGATTTTATAATATTGGACGAATGAGATGATTTTGCATTTTGTATGGGACGCATACTTTGTATTTGATCTCAACCCTATATATATATATATATATATATATATATATATATATATATATATATATATATATATATATAGGGATGAGTTCAAATGAGAAGACATCTTAATGTGTAAAATGAGAGTTAATCTCAGCCATCCAAAGTGTCGATCTGATGCACAATAACCCATATCTGATGCACTTTAGAATAGACCTTATCTGATGCACTTTTCGAAAAGTGCATCAAATAAAGTCTAGAGGAAAGTGCATCAGATAGGGGTTATTGTGCACCAGATCGACAGTTTGGACGGCTGAGATTAATTCTCATTTTACATGTTAAGACTTTTTTTTATCTAATCCAAATTCTATATATATATATATAGAGGAATGTTCATGTCAGGCCGGCCTGACGGGCTGCCCCGTCCGGCCGAGCCCGTTTGGGCACCTTCCCGGTGGAATGTTTTGATGAAATTTTTTGAGCATGTTCCTCATCAAGTCTAGTTTGTCCATACCAAATTTCAGCTCAAAATTCGATCGGGAAGGTCGTCAAATGATTTTTGCAAGTTAACTGGTCCGGAAAATACATATTCCGGACCAGTTAACTTGCAAAAATCATTTGACGACCTTCCCGGTTGAGTTTTTGGCTGAATTTTTTTGTGGATAAACTAGACTTGATGGAGAACATTCCATAAAAATTTCATCAAAAAATTCCACCGGGAAGGCGGCCAAACGCCGCCGTCCGGACGGCGGTTCCTGTCCGGAATTCCGGACATGAACTTTTGTCTATATATATATATATACATATATGTAGAGTGCTCTTCTCATCAGGCCGGCCTGACGGGCTGCTCCATCCGGCCGAGCCCGTTTGGGCACCTTCCCGGTGGAATTTTTTGATGAAATTTTTTGAGCATGTTCCTCATCAAGTCTAGTTTGTCCATACCAAATTTCAGCTCAAAATTCGACCGGGAAGGCAGTCAAATAAATTCTTGAAGCTTACTGCACATTCTGCGCATATATAAAGTGCAGTAAGTTTCAAGAATTTATTTGACTGCCTTCCCGGTCGAATTTTGATCTGAAATTTGGTATGGACAAACTAGACTTGATGAGGAACATGCTCAAAAAATGTCATCAAAAAATTCCACCGGGAACCGCCCCAAACAGTAAAGTTCGGACGGTCCCACCCGTCCCTCCGGAGGGACATGAGCAGTCCTATATATATATATATATATATATATATATATATATATATATATATATATATATATATATATATATATAGAATAAAGATCAAATGAGAACATTGCTTAACGTGAGAACGTGAGAACAGCACATTTACTCCAACGTTAAGCAGCGTTCTCGAGAACGTGAGAACAGCACATTTACTCCAACGTTAAGCAGCGTTCTCGAGAACGTGAGAACAGCACATTTACTCCAACGTTAAGCAGCGTTCTCACTAGAACTGCACCCTATATATATATATATATATATATATATATATATATATACTCCGATGGATCAGCTCCCGGCCCCTAGCCATAACATAACCTGCCCGCGCGCGCGCACTAGAAAGCTCAGCTCTTAGATCCGGCCGGGAAATATATACTGTATATATATCTATGAAGAACAAATTAAATATTCTGAGATACATATATACGTACTAGCTAGTGCTTGCGCGCGCTGCTCCAATCAGATTCGGGAGATCGACACCGCGCGCCGCCGCCGCCTCACCACTCTGAAATTTAACTCTCACAACACCAACTTCATCAATAAATCCCCTACGTACTTTACGGTACTTAGCTAGCACTTATTATATTTATATATATATATATATATATATATATATATATATATATATATATATATGCATCTTCCATGGATAATTATATTTACACAAATCATCTAGCTATTATATACTCCGTGTGTGTGTGTGTATATATATATATATATATATATATATATATATATATATATATATATATATATATATATATATATATATGCATCTTCCATGGATAATTATATTTACACAAATCATCTAGCTATTATATACTCCGTGTGTGTGTGTATATATATATATATATATATATATATATATATTTTGCTCATCATATCATTTCACCTTACTTTTTTTAAAAAATTTCATTATACAGTGTTCATTTGAAACTAGCCGGCTAGACCTCATTAATTGCTTTTGGATTGCCAATCTGCTTTATTTGGAAATTATATACCACGTCTATGTTTCTTTCCTTTATCAGGATTGTTACCCTATTCCAGAAATTATGAATAATTATAGCAATAATGTTTTTTATTCTCATACTACTAGTATTAATTAATCATACGTAATGATACATTTCGTTTGTGCATTCTACATGCCGTTTATTTTTGCTTATTCGTGTTTTAGGATGTTTTCTTTTGGACTGTTTTTAGTCTCAGACCAGACCAGACTTAAACAGATCAGACCTGACTTCCATAGTTATAAAATACACGGAGACCAGACTTTTACCAGACCAGTTCAGACCAGACCAGACTAGACATAAACAGACCAGACTAGACCATCAAATTTCCGTCCAAAAGAAAACATCCTTAGTGCGCGTATATTAATTGTAAATGTTAATCAAGTCCATTTAATTATTATGCTGTACTTTGTAATTTAAATGGTAAAACGCTACGGTTTGTAAAATATAAGGTAATGCCAGGCCACTACAAATTAAATAGCTAGGATATATTATACGATAGTATATACATATACTACTGTGATCCATCCTTTCCTCAACACTATTGACTTTTCTTTCTCAACTTTCGACTAATTTTTACTACATTTCACTTGCATGAAATTTATAAGGTTTATATATAGTTTACGAAAGTATTTTTTTCAGGAAATTTACAAGGTTTATATATAGTTACAAAAGTATTTTTTAAAAATAAGTTTTTTTTATATAATCATCACATTTTTAATAATTCTATGATAAAGAATTTCCACGCGAAGTCATAAGAGCGCGTAATTTCCCTTTTATCATTCAATATAAATGTAAAATCCAGTATTCCTTTTTGTAAATTATAGAGATTCATTTATTATTTGCATTTATTATTTACCTGGTTTAAGAAATGACTTAGCTTCGACCCATATGTAATTAGTACAGTATGTAGTATTTTCAAGATGGGTTAAATTAAAAAAAAATAAGTGATCGATTGATGATATATTTTGATGTTATGAATGAAGCCAGAAAATATGGGTCGCCATTCTTGTATGGTGAAGCAGAAGCTAAGAAAAGGGTTGTGGTCGCCGGAAGAAGACGAGAAGCTCTACAATTACATCACTAATTTCGGCGTTGGATGCTGGAGTTCCGTCCCCAAACACGCCGGTAACCCTCTTACATTTTATTTTTATATCTCCATTCTCCATGGGATACTAAATCTAGAGCCTCTTTGTTCACTCATGTCTTGTTACTCAATTTTTTTTATCAACTACATAAATTTTGATTTAGCGTGTTTAATTAAAATAAGTTAAAATAAAGTCATTTTTGTGGTTGAGTTGAATGATATTATGGTAGAGTACAACTTTTGCTATTTTCATATAGGGAAAACTGTCAAATAGGTCCCTGTACTATATCAAAAAAGTCAATTTAGTCCCCGTACTATTAAATCAGTCAATCAAATCCTCCAAGTATACAAAAACAATCAATTTGGCATTCAACCGGGAAACAGCCGGTTAAGAGGTAAACTTAAGATGTAGGTGGCAAATTTTTCATTTTTCATTTTTTGTTTCCTTCTCTTTTCCCGTCCTCTTCCCTTGGTTGTCTTCTTCCGCCAAACCCCAAGTCTGCAACATCCATTCCTTTTCTTTATTCCCTATTTCCTTCTTTCTTTTTCCTTAGCTTCCACCCTATCCAATCAAAACAAGGTTGCCATATCACATATCCGGAACTTCAGCGAGTACAAAGAGGTAAGAGGGTTTTAAGTGATGCCGTAGGGCTGGGCGGGGGCTGCTGCGATGTCGCCGAAAAACGGATGTACGGATGTTGCGAAATCGCCGGAGCTCTTGGGCCTTCTCCCGCCGTAGGTTGTTGAAGTTCTCCATCGGAGGTTGTCTCCGATTATTTACCACCGTCCAGTGTAGGTCGTAGTCCATACTGAAAAGGATAAAATGAGGGGAAAGAGGTCATGTGTCCAGTTGGTTGTTTGGCCGAAGAACAAAGTCAATGAAAGAGAAGAAAGAAAAGAAAAGAAAAGAAAGAAAGTTGCAGGCATACGACTGAAGCAGAAAGAAAAGAAAGAAAACGGAAAGGAAAATAAAATGCCACATGGGTGCCAACTCAGCTATGACCGCATTGACCGGTGAATTTTTTTAGCCAACCAGTTAAAAATCAAAATTGAGTCTTTTTTTTTTATAGTTGGAGGATCTAATTGACTGATTTAATAGTACAAGGACTCAATTGACTTTTTCGATATAGTACGAGGACCTATTTGACAGTTTTTCCTTTCATATAACTTATTCTTACTCTTATCTATAAAATATTTTTTTCTCTCTCCACAATTTAGCAGCAGATGCAATAATCAATTCAACTACTATAGTCATAATTTCATTAATTTTAGTAGACTCAATCAATTTCATTATTACAAAACAGGCTTCTAATCGTCAATATAATTTTTTGCGAAATTCCACCCATATTTGTATTGGCCGTAAAGATTTGACATTCCTGGCCAAAAGGTTAGGTCACCCTGATAGGAAGAGTGACCCAATATCTTGTATAACGTTTTATTGTTTTATACTATTCTGTTGTGGGACAAATACTACAACACGTCCTCGCAGTCCAAATCGGGCTTGAAAACATCGGAATGTACAAATGAGCCAAATACAGACTTCTAACGAGCAACTCATAATGATGAAAGCTAAATAAAAATCAAATCACAACCGAACCTTGATCTTATATATATATATAATGCAATATTTTTAAGAAAATCATTTGACTGTCTTCCTGATGGAGTTTTTAGCTGAAATTTGGTTTGAAGAACATGCTCAAAAAAAATCATCAAAAAATTCCATAAAGGGCCCCAAACGGGCTCGGCCGGACGGCGGTTCCCGTCAGGCTGGCTAGACATGAAGGTTTGTATACGTAGTATATGTTTATGTAAGGTAGACTTAAAAGTTACAATTTTAGGCCTCTTTCATTTGAGGTGCTTCCAGGTAGTATTTTTTGATGAAATTTTGCGATCTTGTTCTCCATGAAGTGTAGATTTTGTCATTCAAATTCACCTTAAAATTCAATCAGGAAGTCTGTTAAACAATTTTTTTGAAAATTGTGCAGTTTTTTTATATATACAAAATGCAACTTTTTTCAATAATTTATTTAACTGTCTTTTCTATTGAATTTTAATATGAACTTTGGTGGTAATAATCTAGCTTTATGGAAAACATGCTCACAAAATTTCATAAAAATATTTCACCCTAATCCCCTCAAATGAAAGTAGCCATATATAGTATACGTGCGATTTACCTACCGATGTATTATCATTTTATGATTTAATAAGTAAAATAATACAGATTATAAGAAAAGTATTACTGTATAAATATTATCAAGCCTAAAAGAACTCATATATTTAAATTGTTCAATGGTCTTATACTTTGTATTATAATTAAATACTTTAGGGCTTAGAGTTACGTGAAAAATAAAAATAATACGAAGTATAAATAACCTATGTGAAAAAAAACCAACCTCGACCGGCCGGGTCGACCCGAAACCCGGCGAACCGGACCAAAACCCGGTTCGGTAAGTTAAAAACCTGGAAGTACTCAAAAACCGAAAAAACCTAGCCGAACCAGAAAAACCCGTTCCAGACCCGCACCCGAAAAACTCGACAAACCCGGAAAAATCCGGTTTTGGCTGTCCCCCCCCAAAAAAAAGAGTTTCTTTTTTTACTTTCAAAGCATTTTTAAATGAATTGGAATAATATATTATTAAATGTGACAACACAATCATTCATGCCAGGGGCGGAGCCAGGGCACTGGGCCGGACTGAGCCGGTACAAAGAATATTTTTTGAAAACAATTTACACGAAATTTTTTACCTTAAAAATTAAGTCATTTTTAAAATTTGGGGTGAGCCATGGCCTAGGTTGGCCCACCCCTAGCTCCGCCCCATGATTCATGCATGTTAATGTGTGTGTATATATATACGAAGTATACATTTTATACACATCAAAACACAACATTACTAATCATATTTATGCAAAAATGTTTATAAAACTACAATTTTTATGTTTCCGACTAGTTCCCGCCTAGGCGCCGGGCTGACGCCCGACTAGCGCCTAGCGCCTTTTTGAACATTGACTATATATACACATACATTGTAAATTCCAGTTGATATGACAATCAACTACACACTTTTCATACACACTTATACGCACTCGTGTCCGTGAAGAGTTATTGTTTGTCTGTATACAGACATAACTTATTCTCAAATACGTTATGTCTGTATACAGACAAACAATAACTCTTCACAGACACGAGTGCGTATAAGTGTGTATAAAAAGTGTGTACCTCAAGTGTGGTTGAATATAAAAAGGCATAGCATAGAGTAGATAACCAATAATGGTGATATTGAATACGATAAAAATGAATGAGAAGTTACAATACAAGGTATTTAATTTGCAACTCTAGAAATGGCGGCTCTCTTTCTGTAAATTAAATATATGAACACAATTCATGAATAAGAGCTGAAGGTTGAGCTTCCGTACGTATAACCTGGTGCGTACAAAGGTGAATGGAGACAAAGAAATGGACACATACAGTAAAATATAGAGTAATTTTAAAATATATCCTTAACACTCATCCTATTTTAAAAAACACCACCACCTAGTTATATATGCCCAACATTGATTATCTTATTGATCCGTTCTAAAATAAGATAATATTTACCACTTTACAGCCTGTTTGATTGTGTAAACTTTGCATTGCCAATGATAAAAAACTAAAATAAGATCATATTTACCACTTTATAGCTTGTTTGATTGTGTAAACTTTGCATTGCCAATGATAAAAACAAAGGTAAAGGTACGGAAAAGGCACCCATAGTTGGGTTTGAGGTAATGTCATGTGTTTCATTTTTTGTCAAAGTTGTTCATGTGTTTGAATTCCGTTATCGTAAGAGGGTTCTGGTGCCTGACGCCGTTAAAAACGCATGAGGAAGACGATGGAGAGTAACTCCGATTTCCAAAAGTGCCTAGAAATTCAAAAGAAAAATATCGGAAGGTGCGCCTCGTCAAGATGAACTCCAAACCAGCTTCGTCTTTGGATTTTTCGAATTTGTTTGGATTATTTTTGTTAAAACGAATTTGCTAATATCACGGCTCCGGTGGACTTTCTAGTGACAATGGTAGTTGAAAAAAAATGGTCTATATATGGATCGTCTTGTTGAGGCGCACCTTCCGGTATTTTCTTTTAATTTTCTGGGCACTTTTGAAAATCGGAGTTACTGGTCATCGTGAGAACGGCGTCAGGCGCCAAGACCCTATTGTGATAACGGAGTTCGAAAACATGAGCTACTTTGATAAAAAAAATGAAACACATGATCCTATCTGAAAACGGGTGCAGGCACAAGTACCTTTTCCGCACTTTTCCCGATATACATATTATGTGAATGAATCAACGATAAAACATTTTCTTAATTTACAATTAATGATATCTAATAGCATATACATGTATTTATAATAGTTAATAATTGGACCAAAAATGGGGTATTATATATATTTTATTAAAGCTAGCAAGTTTAGAGCCCGTTTGGTAGCACGAAAATCGGTTGATTTAGCTGATTCTGCTGTAATTTATGAAGTTCTGGCTGAAGTGGCTGCATTTGCTGATTTTGCTGATATAAGAAAAATTAATTTTAAAATATATTTCATTAATATAATAAAGAAAATTTATATGTAAAAATAGCTAAAATGGTCATCTACAGTAACTTCAACCAATGCAGTCAAAAAAGTAACTACAACCTTCTTTTTCTGCTTATTACAAAATTGAGCGCGCGAAAGCAAAAGTTACGTGTTTAGTGAAAAAGTTTGCTGATAAGCCGAAAAACAGTGGTGCCACTCTTAATTGTGTTCATATCTTATGAAAGCAGGAATTATCATTGTAGTGCATGTAGCTTATTTGTAATTTGACTAAAGACCTCCTTTTGATGAGTGGAATCAGATTTTTTTTCGCTGAAATTGGTCTAAAAATATTTATTATGAGGAAAAACTCGTTACTAGTTTGAACTATTCTTTTATAAAAACCAAGATTACAAGAACAATAATTGATTATTACTACTAAATTTTTAAATGAATTACTAGCTATATTTGATGCAAATTATACCGAAATAAGTTT